AATGGCTGACGGTACAGTCTAATATTGTGCTTCCTGGTGTGTGGCAAAGGCAAAAACACAGTTTGACTGCATTGAAGTCATCTTAGATCTTCTTTTCCATGAAGATCTGAACAGCTTATCGAATATGCAAATCAAAACATACTGGACGCAGCTTTTGACAGAAAGGAAAACAACATGACCTCAGGGCTGACACCAGTTTTGCCAAAGACCTGGTGGCAAACCAGACAACTGAGCCTCCCTGAGACTGGGGTCTACACTCAACAGACTACAACTCTCCAGGCAAAGACTACCTCTGTAACTGGAATTTCATGTTGGCTCAGCATGTAATCATGATCACCCAGATTAAACTGTTCAGATCAGTGAGATAAAAAAATCACGATTTTCATCTTTATTCGAAAAACTGATTATTTTCTGGGAGCAATCAGCTGTTCAGTTCAAGCATTTCTGATGAATAATTGCCACTAAAGTCTCTTAATAAAATGTTGCCTTTTTCAATCCTCTCAAGGAGAACAAGATTTGCATTATCAGCTTATGAGGCAGTGAATAAGTCGGCCCTCATTTTCACTTCACAATTTTTGATACAGAGAATGAAAGTATCTTAAATCAAAAAAGAAACTAACCTTTCTACAAAAAAGATCCATTTTCTTTCCTATGTAACAGAATCATGGAATGATTACAGTACAGCAGCAGCCATTCAGCCCAATGGGTGAAGTCTTGTCCACCTTCCCCACCCCATGGCAAGTTTGGTGGTGGGAGGTATTTTCTTGAGCAGGAAGGTGGCTAGTGGAGACCTTGCTACCTTCCCTTATACATTCTGATTAAGTCCCTGGCACAAAGGTCCGGGGTAGGCCTTGCTACCACCACTGCCAATCGAGACCCTTTAGTGCACAATCAATGGCCACTTAAGGGCCTAATGCTGGCACAATGGTATTTACGTAGAAGTGGATGGGATGGGAGAATGGGGAGGCCATACGGGGAGAATGACAGGCAAACCCTAGTTGTGATGGAGATTTTCCTGTGTTTCAAAGCCTCTCTATGACTCATACTGCATTCTTCTTGTCTCCTGAAAACTTTTTGTTAGATCAGAGTCATGTAACTCTTCAATTGCCCAATACTTTAAGTGTGCTTGGCTAATGATTTTGCAGGATCTCTGCTGCTGGAATGCACAAGCTTTTTCTAATGACCTCTTAGTGCTAATTTTACAGCATTGCCTCATGAAGTATTTGCATGCAGCGACACATGATAAAAGCTGTAACACGGCTTTTAAATTACTGCCATTTCAGCCTAAATTACTACACTGTTTAATCTTTCTGCTTTTCAAAAGAGAGTTTTTGCTTTAATTCACACCATCACTGATGATTTGTTAGCTCACTGACTCAACTTTGACCTTTTGTGTCATTCTCTGAAGTATTCATCTGTGTTGAGTGTTGCCATGAGGTTTATGGGATTTTTGTTATTAGCAATCAGCAGGTATTCTTTTTAAGTCTTCTGGTTCGTGTTTGCTTTCCTGTCTTTTCTTGAGAGCAGGGTGTCAAAGTGAATACTGTTCATCTGTCTTCACCAAGGAAGAAGATACTGTGTCAGCCATGGAGAAACAGGAATTAATTTACTCACTAGATAATTACAGATGATAATGAAGAGTTACTGTATAGGTACACTGTACTTAAAAAAGGCATAGGGACCAGATTAGATACATTAAGGATACTGAGGGAAATGAAAATAGAAATTGCAGAGGTGCTGGCAATAATTTTTCAACCTTCCTTAGACTGTGGGTGGGGCCAGAGAGGAATGGACAACTGCAAAATTTACATCCTTGTTGAAAATAAAGCCATAAAAATAAGTCTGCCAACTACATGCCAATCATTATAACTTCAGTGACAAGGGAACTGCTAGAAATAATAATTTGGGATAAATTTATTAGCCAAAGGGCCAAATCCAGGTTAATTAATAAGGCCATAAGACATAGGAGCAGAAATTAGGCCATTCAACTCATCGAGTCTGCTCTGCCATTCAATCATGACTGATAAGTTCCTCAACCCCATTCTCCCACTTTCTCCCCGTAACCCTTGATCCCCTTGATAATCAAGAACCTAGCTATCTCAGTCTTAAATGTACATAGATTCACCACTCTCTGGCTGATGAAGTTTCTCCTTATCGCTGTTCTAAAGGGTCTTCCCTTTATTTTAAGGCTGTACCCTCGGGTCCTAGTCTTTCCTACCAATGGAAGCATCTTCCCAACATCCACTCTGTCCAGGCCATTCAGTATTCTGTAACTGTCAATTAGATCCCCCGTCATCCTTCTAAACTACAATGAGAATAGTCCCAGAGTCCTCAAACATTCCTCATATGTTAAGTTATTTAGGAGAGCCAGCATGAGGCTTGATGAGCCAATGTTGAGAATTCCCAGGGGAGCTCCCTCCCAACTGTATACCACTGTGCTGCCACCTCTGCTTCTGGTGGGATAGGACATACCCAGGAATGGTGATGGTAGTGTCTGGGACATGAGTAAGACTGTCACAGTCTGTTGCTTTACAATTCTGTGAGACTGCACTGCCAATTTTGACACAGGCCCTCCAATAAGGACGGCAAGATCAACAGGGCTGTTTTTGCCGTTCTTGTTTTCAGTGCCTTAGTCAATGCCAAGTAGTTCATCTGATTTTTTTTTTAAACTAACATTCAATACAATTGAATGGCTTGTTAGGCCATTTCAGAGGGCAGTACAGAGTCAACCACTGTGGATCTGGAGCCACATGTGAGCCAGACTGGGTGAGGATGCAGATTTCCTCCTCTAAAAAGACATTAATGAATTGGACAGGTTTTCTGACAACTAACAATGATTTCATGGATATCATGAGACTTTTAATTCGAGGTTTTTTCATTAACTTCAAATTCAGTCAACTGCTGGGATGTGATTCAAACCCAGGATCCTCAAACATTATCTAGGTCTGTGGATTATTAGTCCAGCAATAATACCACTACGACACCACCTCCCTCATACAGTCTAGGTGTTTGTGAATTTTCTTTCATTGTGCCAAGTAATGTGGTAACATATATGGAACTCAACACTGCATGTAACATATAGTGGTACAATTGTGTGGTTTAAAAGGTTGTTATGTTTTGGGATTGTGGGTGGATTTTTATCCCCTTCCTAATGTGGCAACAATAACAGTGAACAAGGTAACTAATTAGGGTGAATACAAAAAAAAATTCTCAACTTCAAAACAAACTTGCTCAATTTTCCCCTCAAACCTTAAATAGCGAGTTCAGAATCTTGCCCTCAAGTGGCAACTAACTGATGTGCATCTCATTAAAACCCAACTCAGCCTATTAACATCACAGATGAAATTCAATGCTGAGAGTTATGACATTAGCACAATGAACATAGGTGGACAGTACAAAGGATATTTTCTAATGTTTGTACAGGAACAGAGAGACCTGGGTGTATATGTACACAGGTATTTAAAGATGGCAGATCGGATAAAGATAGCTGTTAATAAAACATACAGTATTCTAGGCTTCATAACTAAAATATAAAAACTTATGGAACACTGGTTAGACATCAGCATGCAATACTATATACTGTTGTGAGCTCCACGATAAAGGGGGTATATATGAATGCATTGAAGAGACCGCATAAGATATTGCAAGAATGGTTCCACTTCAGTTTTGAGGTAGATTGGAGAAGTTGGGACTGTTTTCCTTAGAGAGGAGAAGGCAGAGGAAAGATTTGATAGAAGTTTTCAAAATCATATAAAGGTCTGGACAGAGTGATAGTTGAAAATTATTCTCGCTCATAAATGAAGCAAGAACCAAAGGGCACAATTTTAAAGTGTTTCACCAAAGAATAATCAAAAAGTAGGGAAAAACATTTTCATACAGAAAGTAGTTGGGGTATAGAATGCACTGCCTGATGTTGTTGTGGTGAATGGTTCATTTGAAATATTCAAAAGAGCTAGCTTCTATTTAGAAAATCATACAACATTCAGGGGGAAAATCAGGAGTTTGGCACTAAAATAAATGCTCAGAGAGCCAGGTGCAGACATGATGGACCAAATGGCCATGTTCTGCTCTGTAGCAATGCGGTGATTCTGTGAATCTTTTCTGACAGAGATGTATGGAATTATTATTGATTTCATACTAGAACCAATAAAACGGTATTAAGTGAGGCATGTGCCCCAGCACATTCTGTAGACATAGAATTTAGCTTCAGTGCAGTCCACATTGAAATGCAATGCTCTGGCTTCAGACATCATCAGAACGGTTCTGATAACTGATGTTTTCTGTTCTCGAAGAGTCAGGAATGACTAAATAAGGTGAGAAATGTAAGAGATGAGCAATAATTGGCGATTGCATCTTCAGTGCAGCACAGATTACAATAGTAGAAGTGAAAATGTATAAACAAAAGTAAATACTTATTTACAAGGATGCTTCACCTGTGTCCTCTATGTGCCCTCAGTTTGTTTACTTCTTCTCCCTCCCACTATGTCTAGGTGCGGGTCTGATTTCCGCATTTGAGGTGGGCAGAGCCTACTCTGTGGTTTTATCTGTTGATTTGGAAGATTTGGGTAGCCTAGTGCCTTCTGAGGACACTCCAGATATGTCCTGCCCCTTGACTTCTCTCCGTCTGTGATCCCAAAGCAAGCAGCAGGACAAGCCAAGGAGACAACTCTGTATCTGGGCAGCAGAACTTCAGCAGGCCTGTTCCCTCTGGACTCAAAGTCTCCTCACAAAAGGGTAAGTGTTTTGGGAAAAAAAAGACTCGAAAACTGCATTTAATGTTTAGTGATTTTCAGTTGCTGTCTGAGAGTAAAAACAAAAAGGGATATTGTCTCTCTAATACAGACTGCAATGACACATAAAGAATTTCCCAGTGAAACAGAGACTGCAGTAAAGCCCAATATAACCCAACAAAACTGTACAGTGTTTCAGTTAACAAGCTGAACATGGATAATGTCCATGCCATATGCAGCTCTAAAATTGAAAATTTAATAAGGGCTCACCTTTGAAATCCGGCTGACATTCTCTTGGATTATTGGCTGAATATGACAATTATCTTCAGTTAGAATGATATGTGCTGCAGCTGAGTGTTTCTGGACTAAGCCAATGCCATCAAAATCATCTTCCTCTCTTAACCCGCATACTACTCCATCCTGGATCGGCAAGGGAAGAGCAAACAGATATCTTAACCCACAATCCCAAGGCATGTAGCCTGAGCTCAGTTACACTGTCAGGAATGCAGCTTTAGATCACCAGAAAATATGTCAACACTATCTATTCAGAGCATTTTGGTCATCTCTGAATATTCGTAGTACTGTCACTCAGATAGTAATTTTTTAAAACAGAAACATTGTCAATCAAATCTTGCCCAGGAGATAAATTTACAACCTAACAGTGTAGTCTGATGCCATGCTTATTTGGCTTATTTTTGTTGTTGGATCCTTTTCCTGTAAATTATACAAGGACACTACATCACTCAAAACTCCTGGGAAAAGTTGATCAAGTAGCATTTAATGAGAGGGAAATGAACTAAATGTTTTCAAAGTAATTAATTGCTGTAAAAGTATGCCATTTGTCCAGGCAAGTGGTCTGTGAAATATTTACTCTTACGCAATTCATTTTTTTGCTTCTAACTCTGCTATTTGAAGGAAAGTAACAGTATCCATGGGAGTCAGTTATCATCAAAGTCATTTCTTGGCATTCATCGAGTCCTACATTTGAAATAGCAGTGTCACAGCTCGGAGACTGATTCACAAAAGTCATCAGAAGACAATGTGAAAGTAAGACCCTGAAACATGATAGGATTTTGAAAACATTGTAATGATCGCTCACATCACCTCACCACAGCCCACCATAGCAGACAGGGGCCTGCACCATCACCCATTTTGCAGCACAGCCTTCATTGTATCGAGACAGTAGGATAAGGTCACAGAGTTCAGGGTGATAAGCTTGAGAGTTAAAATCGAACAGATGTCTCAAGCATCGCAGGTGATGATGGATTCTGCCAATAGAAAGCAGAGATGATTCAGAGGTCAGACCCAGGCAAAGATCTTCAGGACTCAGAGGTCTGGGGTTCAAAAGGAATGGTGCTATCCAGACATTTCAGGCGTCCAGGTGTAATATGGACATAAATGTTAAGTATTTTCTGGTGCATCACATTGTCTCTCCTTCATCTGTCATTTGCAAAGCTTAGAAGTGTTGGTGTAGTGATTGAAACAAGGGCTAGGTGGATCTCATTGACCATGAGATCCCTGATTGGGGCTGTTTACCTGGGCCGATCAGAGAGCCCTGGCTGACAGCTATAAACAGGAGATTCATATTGTGCACATGCAAACAAAGGGTGACTTGGTGATGAGGTACTGGCCTCTGTGCAGTTAAGTTGGGAACTCCAGTTCTGCTAGTATTCATCACATTGTTAAGCAGGGTAGTACTGTGGTATTTATGAGCTCTACCATTAATCTGGACCTTGCCATCTCTACCTCACAACCAAACCTTCCCAAAAAAATCCATCAGTTTTACCTCAGAAGTGAATTAATATTTCAATTTGTGACTAAACTAACCAGATCATTAAGTGTTTGAGAGTTATGTTTCATTAATTTCATACTCCCAAACACCCCAATTCATTAATTTAATTACAATATTTAAGGGTAGAATTTCTCCAGTGTTCTCCTACTATAACTTCTGTAGAAGATCAGACAAATCCCTGTGGAAGTTGCAACCATTGTGTTTTTAACCAGACCACATACAAAGTTCCTTAATTTATTACACTTCCAGATGTGAAACCCCAAACTGTTAAGCTCCCAGATGAAAAATGGTGAACTTGTTTCCTTCTTTATTCACCACTGCTTTGGTTGATTGCAACAAGATTAAATTGGAAAGGATCCCTTCCTGTAGGAATGCCTTTCTCCCAGATCCAAATGAACTGATGTTTTAAAAGGAGCCTATTTAATCAGGCTTTCTGGAATTAACAGAAATAACACAGTGTGGAGCTGGAGGAACACAGCAGGCTAGGCAGCATCAGAGGAGCAGGAAAGCTGACGTTTTGAGTTGGGACCCTTCTTCAGAAATTAACAGTTAGTTGAATGTTGTAGCCATTGCAGTGGAGGTTACCGGGAGCCTTGAAGTTTATAGTCGAACAGTCGGTTTCATGATCCTTCATTTTGCAGATTGGTTGAGATTCTGTAGATCTGATTCCTTTCAACAGTGATTGAAATCCAGAATTCTGAGTGAGACACACTCCTTTGTTATCCTGTTTCCTTTTTGCCTGTGTACTAGCTAGCTGATTTCTAGCAATCAGAGTTCAGGAGGGCCTTTACCTGCAACACAGGGGTGACGAAGGGATAGTTCTTTGACTGTGACCTTCACAGCATTCTAACACTTGAGCCCAGGCTAATATTTACAAGAACAGTTTGTCCCATTCAGTTGAGTCGAAATTTTTTTTTTAAACCCTTGTCCTTGTGTATTCTTTAAAGAAAAATACATAAAGATATTGGAATTACAAGTTAAAACTGTCAGTATTTTGGGGTTCATGGTCATGACATTAGTTTTTCAACATTTCCATTTACTTCAGAATCAGATAGTGGAAGAAAGAATATTTTAGATATTCTTAGGAGCTACCTCTCACAGTTAATCAGCAGATCTCAGCTGTCAGTTAAAAATGCAGTAAGTCAAAACCCAAATGACGACCGACTGCTATCCGAGAAGGACAAAGGGAGAATCAACAGACAGCTCTGAATGAATGTCATGTATTTTAATGAGCAGTACTATCAATATCTCGCCTGCCTGATCTTTGCCAAGATATGGCAAATAGCAAAGGAAGGGAGGAAAAGAATACATGACATAAATAAAACTGAAAAATCTCCAATGCATTAAATTCAAGGAGACATTTTAGCTGCAAGCACAACCCGATTCATTGAGCTCTGTCGTTATTAGGCTGATCATGAGACAGAAAGGATTGAATAATGAACATCAATTGTTTACATAAGAACCCACTTGAGCACGGTAAATAAAATGAGCAGTAACATTCACAATTGGAGGCAAAATCCTAACTAATCCTTTAAATGGATCATTCCAAATCACAATTCATATATTATTAGGGATATGAAAGTAGGTGATTAATAGAATTGAACAGTCACATTTAAACTAGAGGACTGGCTGCAGCTCAATTCACAAAGTCGTGGTGGTCATGACGTTTCCTCTTCACATCTGCCATTCTGATTGCTTTGGTAGAGGACTGTGGGAAGGAATGTTTCTATGCTAACTCTGTACACATCAACTTCTTTACAAATAACAGGAACACATTCTAGGAAACAGAATCATGTTGCAAATCCCATCTTTTCTGACTGATAAGGATATATGGAATCAACTTTAAGTATGGAGCAGAAATTCGATTTTGTCCTACCTCTTTCTCAGAAGCCATGAAGGACAATTCTGGGGACCAATGTCCTGCACAAAGGGATAGTTCTTTAATTGTGACCTTCACAGCATTCTAACACTTGAGCTCAGGCTAATATTTACCAGAACATTTTGTCCCATTCAGTTGAGTCGAAAACCCAAGCAAGTTGGTTGAGCAGGCATGATGATGGCCCCCAGGACTTAAAGTTAGACTTTACAAAGTTTAGAGGCTATTCCAAGTATGAAAACTTCATGCGTTTTGGAGTCGGGAGCAGAGCAGAACAAACTGACAGAGTGAATGGTGCAGTTTGTTTCAGGGATGCCTCCCTGGATGTTCTGTTTTGACCCATGAGAAGACCCTGCATTTTCAGCATGCTGAAGACTTGTTCACTGGTAACTGGTTGCATTATATCTATCATCGTTGTGCTCTTCAGACTCATTGGCTGAGTTTCTCTTGGGTGTCATCAACCGTCTCTGTAAGTGGGAACTTCTGGGTGACCCAACAGATAGCCATCAAGCCTGTTTCAAGGTGCCAAGTAATCAAGGACAGTTCAGAAGGGCAAGATAGACACATCTTAGTAATTGCCTAGGGATCTTGCACACATCTGTTAGTGACTACACCAGCTATACCTTTTGAAATGGCTCTCCTCGTAGTTTACAAAAATCCCCTTGCAGATCATGGAAGTGCCATAATTGCCACAAGTGTGCATTCAACAATGTTGTGCACCTTGAAAAGCAATCAGAGTGACAAATCTCAGTAACAATCAATCATTCTGACAGGCATCATCAGTAACAAAATTGCCATAATTGCCCACTCTGGCAAACAAGCCATTAGTTAGCTGTCTAACATATTGCTTGCCTACCAACTGTGAGATTCTGCAAATGTCTGCACAAAGCCATGACAGGAGCTGATGACAAAGAAGCCGAGGTTGAGAGCCACTGGTAAAGTATGTCCAACATTTAGAAGCAAGTCTTGTTCCAGCAGACTGCAAGAAACAAAACCAGAACAAGACCCCGAGTGTCATGAGGCACCAGAATTCCAACAAAGAAAGGAAGCTCATCCTTTACTTGTTACACCATAGGTTGAGGGTGTGGCCTCTTGCACGCTGAACCTCATTGCTGAAACCCTATCTTTTTTGACCTGCTGGTTGGTGAGGAGCATGCTGTTGTTGCTTTTGTGCTGATATTGATCATCTTGGTCCTCATCTGAAGTCCAAAGTAAAACAGTGCAAGTGGCACCCAGACTGATCTGATAGAACTACAATGTGGAAATCAGAAGACATAACCTTTGATCTGTCAGTTTCCTCAGTAAAAAAAATTAAACAATGTCTTTTACACACACAGGCAATATATCACCTGTGGGGTTTCAATTCTTGGTGACATTTTTTCCTGTTATATCTTCAGCCCACTGCCATAGACAAAAGGGGAAAGGGGCTGCATTTAAATGATTATTCCTTTTCCCTTCTCAAGTTTGATAATTCGGTTTCCAGCCATTCTTCTCAGAAAGAGAGAAAATGAGACAGATAGCAGTTCTGAAGAAGAACTGTACTCGAAATGTTTCACTCTCCACAGATGCTGCCAGACCTACTGAGTTTCTCCAGCATTTTGTTTCTTTCAGATTTCCAGCATCTGCAGTATTTGTTTCCATTAGAGAAATTAGTTATTTTGATGCCACAGTGATGCAGTGAAATGCCATTCATTACTATCTTGGAGTTAAGAGGCGGTGATAATGGACTAGTGGGAAAATTCTGGAGCTTCCAGGCTAATTCCAATCATGGGATTATAGCAGCAATTTTAAGAGTCTGGCAGTGTTGACCATTTGTCTTTTTTTTTTAAAAGAAGGATTTAAACCTGAGAATCAAGAGAGAATATATATTAACCAACACAAAATTATCTTACTTCATGCCCTCTGGCCATTACACTGTTTATTTGCTGCTAATGTATTTTTGCCCTGGTTTCACTGGCATGATCCAGGAAGCCCAGGAAACAAGTGAGTCCAAAGCTTAATAGCAAAAGCTGCATTAATAACCCTGCAATTAAGATGAAATATTCAAGTTTGAAATTACCACATATTTATAACCTGCCTCTCCTGAAGGGGTTGCTTGCTACAGTTCCATGCAGAAATTGGCAGCTTGCAGCCACCTTCCTCGCACATTGTCAATTTCCCTATTAGTAGTAGTTTTCAACTACTATCACTTGCTCCAAAATCCATGCATTTCAGCCCTTCAGTATGTAAATAGGCTGCCTACTGCCTATTTTTAATTCTCTCACAGAAACAGAGAAACTGTATAGTTACCGACCAGGATTGATCCACAGCTGCTGTATTCAGACAACCACACGTACTTATTTAAATGAAATTTAATGAAAACTGCCTACAGAACTGGGAGGAGCAAGTAATTTGTATTGTTTTAATCCTCCCTATGCAATTCATATTCCTCTACTCCCCGCCTTTTCTTATATCTGTAAGATACCTCTTAAATGTTGCTGTTGAATCCGTCTCCTCTGGCAGTGCATTTCAGGCCCTTACCACCCTCTGTGTAAAAAAAAACTTACCCCTTTTTCCTTATACTTGTAAGTAATTGACATTTCTACATTGGGAGAAAGACTCCATTTTACAAAATTCTATTAGGTCATCCTCATCCTTCGACATTCAAGTGAAAACAAACCAAGTCTGTCCAATCTCTCCTCATAGCTAATACCCTCTAAGCGAGACAACATCCTGGTGAAATGTTTCTGTACCCTCTCCAAAGCCTCCACATCCTTTGGCAGTGTGGTGACCAGAACTGCACACAATGTCCAAATGTGGCCTAATTAAAAGCTCTGTACAGCTGCAACATGATTTGCCAATTTCTTTTGTACTCTCTGCCCCAATCAATGAAGGCAAACATGCTTTATGTCTTCTTGACCATCTTAACCACTTATGTTGCCACTTTCAGGGAACCGTGGACTTTGTATGTCTGGATCCCTTTGTATGTTAATGCTACCAAGGGTTCTGCCATTTACTGTATACTCCCCTTATGCATTAGACCTTCCAAAATGTATCACTTCACATTTGTCTGGATTAAACTCCATCTGCCATTTCTCCGCCCAAGTCTCCAAAGTATCTATAGCCTGCTGAATCCTGCGGTATTCTCCGGCAATCTTCCTCATTGTCTGCAGCTCCCTCAATCTTTGTGTCATCTTCAAGCTTACTAATCAGGCCATTCAATATTCTCCGTTTACATACGTTACAAACAGCAGGGGGCCTAGTACTGATCCCTATCTATTTCACCTGAAACATCTAAATCCCATTACATTTAGCTGCCAGTTTTGTCCCTCTCTCAACTACATCTCTGTAATAGCTACAACTTCAGAGTTACATGTATTAAGCCAAGCTCTAATTTCATCTGCCTTATCTGAGATATTCTTCAAATTAAAACAAATACATCTCAGACCACCAGTGCTGCTGTGTTCAGTAACTTCTCGCTGTATGTTCTTCCTTTTAGTCTTACTGATCTTAGTCTCAGGTACCTCCTTTGTCATTTTACTTGCTGACCTACTGATCTGGCTCCCTGCCACCATCACCACATGAGTGTTTGCCCTGGAAAACACGCCAATGATCCACATACCTGAAGCCGTCTCTCCTACACCAGCTCTTTAGCCACGCATTTAATTGTGCTAACTTCCTATCCCTAATTTCACCATCATGTGGCACAGGAAGTAATCCCGAGATTACAACACTAGAAGCTCTGCTGTTCAACTTCCCACCTAACTGCCTGAACTCCCTTTGCAGAGTCTCTTCTCTTTGGTGAAGATCTTGCTAAACGTTGAAGAGAGGGGGGCAGCACCTACACAGGTTCAATTTGAAACAGGCCGAGAGCCTGTTAAAGCCTTCTCCACTGGAGAACGTTTAGCAAGATCCCCTTTGTGGGGACCATGGGCACAGTGAGGTTATGATGATCAGTTTAATTGGGACATCGTGGGAGTGAATGTCTTCACAAATTCCCACTTGTGCATCGTAACTTCAATCCTTGTGTCATATTTCCAGACATTTTGCTACTCTTCCATTCAAGATATGCCAAAGGACAAGAAAACAAAAGAGGTCCATGCAGAAACTCAAACTCGTTTTTAAAATTTCATTCACAGGATATGGACATCACCTGAGAAGGAGCAATTAGGGATGGGCAACAAATGTTGGCCTAGCCAACAACATCCACATCCCGTGAATATTTAGCCTGGAAATGAATTTTGGTATAATTTACAATTGCTTGGATAGAGTAACCTGCACTCCTTGCAATGTAATGAAAGATAGTTAAAGGAAATTAAGGCCCAATATGTTTTTGATACAAGTTTATTTCACAATTTTACCAAGTAATTTGCAAAGTCCAGCATTATTTTAAAACGTGCTGGAGAAAAAAAGGCTAAAGCAAAGCTCATGGCATCTCCCAAAAAATGGTAAGCCATCTAAGTTTAATCAGGGGTTCATTCATTATGCAGAATGGGCCTCTTGAAAGGGAGCTAATTGTGGAGGATAATACATTGCATGATCCTAACTACAACATCAAAAGGAAGAGAAGCTAGCCATCGGAATTAATTTACAATATATCCAAGGTTCACAAGGAAGAGATAAAGACCTTGTCCCTTTTAAAATTGTTAGTCTGCTGCCAAAGTCCCCATGGTCCCTCTTCTGGACCTCAAATTAGAAAGCAATGGAGTCATTCATTTTTCCTAATCACCACCTAAATGCAGCAAAATAATCTAAGATCCCTTTGAGGAGGAGGAGACTTACTTTCACAGCAGCTGGGATGAGAGAGAAGGCAATTCCTTTCTCTTTCTGTCATGATACCACCAATTATAACAGCACTATAAGGCAACCCAGCTTGCATTGTCAGAATATCTTCATTCCTGTCAGAAGATCACACTAGGCTGTTTGGCCAAATAATTGGTCAACTTTCCACCCTGGGCTAAAAGAGCTTTGGCAGGGTTAGAACTCAAATCATTTGACTTCATATTCTGCAAAACAGAAGTCGCCAGTGTCTGCAAGAGAAAGACTGATTAGAGTTAGATATAATGTGGGGTCTCTCCTTAAGCTTGATGATGATGTTCAGAAGGGCACATTTACCTGATCATTAGCAACAGTGCTTCTATTTGCTACTACATTAAATGACTTGTATCTTATGGCTTTAAATGCTTCTGTGATCAATTGTACATTACCTGTTGCAAAATAAAGTTGCATTTGGCAATTTCCCTCTTTCCATAAAATGTTTTCACACATCTGGCTTTCAATACCCAGAAATAAAAAAAAAACATGGGATACATGCCCAACTCTGGTATCCACTTCATCCTGTTCCTATTATTTCATGGACAAGAGACACTGCCGCTCAGTTGCTTGACAGGAGAGACTGGTGACACTTATGCTAAAAAAGTGCCTTAGTGTAGACCGGAAAAATTGTAGCACCTGTAAACATTATTCATTATCATTCTGAACGGGAGAATAAAACTACCTGGTGTTTACATATCAGATATTATGGATCTTAACAAAAATGACAGATATAGCTTCTGGCTTTTCTTCTCCCCAAGATGAAAGAAAAAATTAAAAAGAGTTTTCATAAAGGTAGGGACTCCACCTTTAAAATTTCAAAGAACTGCAGGCTCCCACAACATTCAATATAAAGAAAAATTAGGTCTATGTCACTGTTCAAGGTAGCAGCATATGCTGGTGCATGTTGCATTTATTATTATCCGTTGATAAAGATCAAGCATCTCATTACTATGCAGTAAATATACCTTATTTTGCTTGATATTATTCACAGAGCCTTTCAATTCAACTGGCTTGATGTCATTTCTGTTCTCTTCTCCACACGCTGGAAAAAAAATCCATAAATGTATTATTGTCCAAGTAAGAATTGTATCACAAGGTATTTTATCATTAGGAAAAGTGCAGGAAATATTTGTGAACCACTTTGCCAAGCTTTTCTGATTACTTTCCACAATGTAAATTATGCATTCTGCCTGCTGGAGAGGTCTCATATTATTGCACATCGGCTTTCAGAAAACATGGATATTCTTTCCACCCAATACTATTTTTGGTATCACTGGCAAGACCATCATTTAGTTACCAACCTGAGCTATTCTTGAGAAAGTGGTAGTGGCTCTTCTTTTAGAATGACTGCAGTCCGTGATTGCAATGAGAGTAGCATACCACAGGGCTATGAGGTAGGGGTTTCCAGGATAGTATCAATAAAGGAACAGTGATATATGTCCAACGGTTTCGATGAAAGGTCATTGACCTTGAATGGTGACACGATTTCTCCCTCCATTGAAACTGCCAGGTTTACTGAGCACTCCCTGCGTTTTCTGATTTTATTACCAGAGTTTAATTCTTGTTTATCAAGAATCTCATTGATACAAAAAAGATGCTGCCTACACCTCAATTTTTAATTCATTTTTTTCCTGCTTTTTGATGCTGAAAGACACACTGTGCATTATTATAACAGGTCACATTTTTACATCTTTTTATATAGTAAAACATCTCAAGATACTCATAGGAATGTTATCAAAGAAAAGTTGATACTGAGCACATAAGAAGATTGTATGCCAGGGGAACAAAAGATTGGTCAAAAAAGGTAGGTTTTAAGAAGGATCAGGTGAAGAAGCAGAGAAGTTTAAGGGAGAAAATTTCAGCACTTAGGAACTCGCAACTGAAGGCATGGCCACAAATGGAGAGGCAAAGAAAATTAGAGGTGTGCAAGAAGTCGGATTTGGAAGAATGAATGTTTTTCCAAGAATGTTTCCATATCAATTTCCAACATTTGTGGATTTTTTTCCCCTTGTTATCTCTCCATTTGGTTATTATGAATGCAGCTCAGTGAGATATATATTTAATTGTGACCTTTTCAATACAATATAATTGGAATTATTTTTTAAAGCAGTAACTGGTCCAAAAGCTGATACTTGCTGTACAAAGATAAAACCTGGTAGAAAGTCCGTTATGAGGTTAATCCATTTTACTCAAAGGATGGTATCAGTAATACATAATAACCTTCTACATTGAATCAATGCTTCTGATGCAAAGTAAGTGTGAGTGGGATTGAGGTACTCACATGGTGTTTCTCCTCTTGCAGCAATAGCAGCAACCAGCTCTTTGTTCACCTATTGTCAAAAACAAGCAACATAACTTGAGAGTGGGCACTTGCTCTGATTAACAAGCTGCTGTGCTTCGGCAAATGCATTCTGCAGCAAAAGAGGCCGAAGAATACTTAAACTTTCAAAAAATGGATAAAAATATTAACAACACAAAGATACTTTCAGTAAAGTTTTGCTGGAAATGACAACTGACAGCAGCAAAAGAGAAGTTAAATTTATTAGGATTGGAAATATTGAATACTAAAGTTCCAATCCATTCAGAAGCTGTGGTGGCTACACTCAAAGCCAAATGTTAACTTAAATTATTGTTGTGAAAATTACCACTTCCAATTGTTCAGTCAGGACACTACACTATAAACTCTTCTCTGGCAAACATGGTTTTAATAAAGTGATTGCAGTTATAGGTTTCCTCCCTAAATAAACTGTCATTCACCACACACATTTTAATGTGTTTCAAAGTGATAAGGTGCCACAGAAGTGAGCTCTCGTTAACTTCAAATATAGATTTCAAAGGACGGTTCACTATCTATTACCAGTATATCATAGATGTGGCCCTGAGCTTTCTTGGAATTTCTGTGGCTGCACTGTCATAAATGCACCAGATATGGGGTGGAAACTCTGTTTAATGTGTAAACCAATGATGTATTTCCAGTGATGTAGCAACGGCAAAGCCTGAGCAATTCAACGCCAAATCAATTGAACAAAGAACAATGGATATTCACTTAAACTGCAGTTTGGATGACCCACAAGGATCAAGTGTCCTTTGACCCCTCCAGGGTCTTTTAACCCCTGCAAGTTGGTTTGTACCCAGGGGGAGAGGGTAGTATTAAAGTCCAAAGATCTATAATACACCTCCAATGCACCCACTTCCCAGTTTATTCGATGTGTTTAGGGTGACTGAGGAACTTGCTCTCAGGAAAAGGTCTGTAATTAAATATTTTAATGAGGCTGTATTCCTCCACTCCAACAAGATTTTTACTTTTAATGTCTGTATCACTGATGAAAAGCTGTTTGGTTCCTGAAAATCTAAGCTTATAGTAGTTGGCATAAATTTCTTGCCATCATAACAAAGCCCTTTAGCTGTTTTGCAATCTGCAGCCACCTTCCAGCAAATCCAATCTCTTCTCCGACAAAAAGTGAAATTGCTGGCAATACTCAGCAGGTCTGGCAGCATCTGTGGGAAAAAAGCAGAGTTAACGTTTCAAGTCGGGTGAACCTTCATCAATTCTTCTCTATTGCCTTCAAATAGAGTCAGCCTGTAAACTGGCTGCCACCTCACTTTCATCTGTTTTACACAATGACCACGGACCACCTTCACCAACAATTGCTGCAACCCTAACAGCTGATGTTACATTTTTAGTGAAAGGGCAGTGTTTCACATGAACTTCTTAATTCATAAGAAATAATTTTTTTACCGTGGTCGATAAAAGAGCAAGAGCCTGTATTTGGAGGATTTCATCACATGATGCTATTTTCTCCTCTGCTGAACTTTGCTCTGATCTGAAAAGATAAAACATTGGAAAATTCATAATTCTTTATTTAATTCAATATGTTTATTTAGTTTGGAACAGTGTAAGATATTTACTGTATGCTCAGAGCAGAGAGAAGGATATCAGCTGGTGACTTTCATTTCCTCATCTTAAAGGTCAGAGGTTCAGAAACACTTGACTTCATTTACTCTTTTTAAGATGGTTATGATCCAAACATTTAGCAATAGCACACAGCTTAGATGAACAAACATTTGCAGCACTTAGAGCTTAAGTGGACAAATGCTCAATACAACCCGAAACTAACAGCGTGGATCACAATGCACAATGAGTTCTTCCAATAAACACAACATACGAAAGAACTGCCGCATCCAAATTTAGTTGTTGGTGGAAAGCAGTCTGGCATCAAATGTGCTGTTGAATGCCTGCACGCCTCAACAAGCACTCAGTTCCTATGCACTGCTAACATTGTTGGAAGTTAGGCTGCACTACGCAAAGCCAAACACTCAAGGGAGAAATTGGTTCGGGCTGGAGTGAGGTTTTAAGTGGCAGAAGAAGATATTCTCAGCAGGAAAACACTGGCTAATGGTCAAAGGGAGAAGATTTTTTTTTAAAGCAACACCTAAGGCCTTGGCACAAGAGATGGCCTCAAGAATTGCAGAGTCACAGAATTGTAATACTGAATGAGGCTATTTGGCGTATTGTGTCTGCATGGACTGTCTGAAAGAGCAGTTCATTCGTGCCATTCAACTGCTTTGTCTAACCCACACGTTCTTACTTTTCAGATAACCATCAAATTCCTTTTTAAATGCTCCAATTGATCCTGCATCTACCACCCTCTGAAGCAGTGGCTTCCAGATGTTTTCCTCCATGTCACTTTTGTTTCTTTTACCAATTATTTTACATTCACACCCTGTCACCCTTTATTCTTTCACGGAAGTGAACAGTGCCTTATAAATGCTGGACAGGCTTTGGGGAGTCAGGAGACAAGCTACTTGCTTTAGAATTCCTAGCATCAGATCTGCTCTCCCAGTCACAGTAATTATATTTCTAATCCAGTTCAATTTCTGTTCTTGGGTAAACCTGAGGAAATTGATATTGAGGGATTCAGTGATTGTAAGACCATCGAATATTTCGGGGTGATTGTTAGATTCTCTCATGAGAGATGGCCTATGTCTGACCCTTGTGTGGCATAAATGTTAATTGCCACTTATCAGCCCAAGTCAGAATGTTGTCTGTATTTTGCTGTATATGGATCAAATGGCTTTAGTATTTGAGTTGTCATAAATGGTGCTCAACGTTATCATTGATTATTGTACATCAACAGTTGATCTAATGATGGAGGGAAGGTCATTGGTGAAGCAGCTAAGAATGCTTGGGCTTAGAATGATACCTTGAGTAACTACTCCAGCAAGGTTCTGAGACTGAGATGGCTGATCTAATCACAACCATCTTGTGCTGGTATGACTGCAATGTGTGGAGAATACTCTGCAGATTTCCACTGACTCCAGTTTTGATGCTGCCTTGATGTCAAGGGCAATCACACTTAATGCGCCTCTGCAGTTCAGCTGTTTATTTTTCACGTTTGGACCTAGATTGTAATGAAGTCAGGAGCTGAGTGGCCCTGGCAGGATACAAATTAAGCATCAGTGAGCAGGTCGTGGTTGACCAGTGCGAGTTCCTTTTTTGATATCCAAAATAATTGATCCATCCATTGTACTATTATTCGATTTAAAATTATTTAAAGGGATTGGCTGTCACTTGACTACATTTGCCTCATGAATATACATCTTGGTGTCAGTAGGAGATAGGTTTGTGTGCACATTTAAAGACACATTTGGTCCCTCTGCTTAGTGATGAAGTAGCTAGGCAAAATAACCCCAATTATTTAGAAACACAGCACTGGAGTACATACAGTAATTTATAATTATTTGAGAGGTCACTCTTTTGAGTCTATGTACAATTAATTGCATGCATTGATCAACTATTGATAAATCAAATACATGGGTTTGTGTCATTACAACTGAAGTGCAAAAACTGCATTTTACCCCTAATAGTTATGTTTGTTTGTCATTCATTTCCCTGCAGATTAAATTCCTTTATAACATTTTACCCGAATCTTCCATCGTCCCCAATAATCCTGAAGATGACAGCTTCAGCTGCGCTAGATTTCTACAGGCACTAACAGTCTCTGATATGTCACCTAAGAGGTTATGTTATTCAGACATTTCTAGATATCTTACCGGTCACTTTATGATATCCTGATTTCAGTGAGAACCTTAACTGCTTGAATCACATATCAGTTATACTCACATGTTACTAAAATTACTAGGTGGAAAAACTATTTTCTAAAACCTAAATGTTGAATTCCAGCAATGCACATCTAGCTATTCCTTGGGCATGTTACTATGCTAGGCAGAGTTAACTACACATTTTTCAGCAACAATCACTAAATCATATCATTCCCAGCTGATGGAAAATGTACAAAAAGTTTAACATGGGAAACATTAATGGTGTTCAAAGAACTGTAAGTGTAATTGGTTCATGGGTCACATATCCTGTTGAAATTTGCTTTCAAATATTCTTATCAATTATGTTAAAATGCGATATTCCTATGTTTGTTCCTTCCAAAGTCTCCACCTCTCTCTCCTCCTTAAAGACACCTTAAAACCAACTTGTTCACCAGGTTTTTGATCACCTGTCCTAACACTTCTTTCAGTAGTTTGGGGTAAAATTTTGTTTGACAATTACCCCTGTGAAGCTGTTTAAAGCATTTTACAATGATAACAGTAGTATATAAACGCAAGCTGTTGTTGGTATACGTGGCATTCTAATAATTTTTTCAATAGTAATCTGATCACTGACTGTAATTAGTCACTGTCACACTACCACTACCAAAGTCCTGTTCATCAGTTTGATGGTGGCTCCAGTGCTACTCAAGACTAGGTGTAGGACATGAAACTAGAGACTTCTGATGCTGAGATGAGAGTGCTACTCATTCTAACCACATTACATTGTCTTCCATGGTTTTTAATTCTTCCCCTTTCCACACTTGGCATCTACCTTACATACAGTCATAGAGATGTACAGATGGAAACAGACACTTTGGTCCAACTCGTCCATGTTGACCAGATATCCTAAATAAATCTCGTCCATTTGCCAGCATTTGGCCCATATCCCTCTAAACCCTTCTTATTCATGTACACATCCAGATGCCTTTTAAATGTTGTAATTGTACCAGCCTCCACCATTACTTTTAGTTTTGGATCCACCCACCCCAGGGAAAAGACCTTGACTTTTTATCCTATCCATGCCCCTCATGATTTTATAGACCTTTGTAAGGTCACCCCCTCAGCCTCCGACACTCCAGGGAAAATAGCCCCACTCTATTCAGCCTCTCCCTATAGTTCAAACCCGCCCGATCCCTGCAACATCCTTGTAAATCTTTTTTGAATCCTTTCAAATTTCACAACATCCTTCCTATAGCAGGGAGTATTCCAAAAGTGGCCTAACTATATTCTGTGCAGCTGCAATATGACCTCCTAACTCCTATAGTCAATGCACTCACCAGTAAAGGCAAGCATACCAAATGCCTTCTTCACTATCCTGTCTACCTGTGAATCCACTTTCAAGTAACTATGAACCTGCACTCCAAAGTCTTTGTTCAATGCAGCACCTCACATTCATCTAAATTAAACTCCATCTGCCACTTCTCGGCCCATTGGACAATCTGATCAAGATCCCATTGTACTTTGAGGTAATCTTCTTCGTTGACCACTACACCAACTATTTTAATGTCATTTGCAAACTTACTAACCATACCTCCTATGTTCACATACAAATCATTGGCATAAATGATGAAAATCAGTAGCCCCAGCACCGATCCTTGTGGCACATTGCTGGTCGCAGGCCTCCAATTTGAAAAGCAACCCTCCACCACCATCCTCGGCCTTCTACCTTCAAGCCAGTTCAGTATCCAAATGGCTACTTCTCCCTGTATTCCATGTGATCTAAACTTGCTAACCAGTCTACCATGAGGACCCTTGTTGAATGCCTTACTGAAGTCCATATAGATCACAACTATGGCTCTGCCCTCATGAATCCTCTTCATTAGTTCTTCAAAAAACTCAATCAAATTAATGACGCATGATTTCTCACACACAAAGCCATGTTGACTATTCCTAACCAGTCCTTGCTTTCCAAATACATGCAAATTCTGTCCTTCAGGATTCCCTCCAACAATGTAACCACCACCGATGTCAGGCTCACCGGTCTATAGTTCCCTGGCTTTTCCTTACCACCTTTCTTAAATAGTGGCACCACATTAGCCAGCCTCCAGTCTTCCAGCACCTCTCCTGTGGCTTCCCACAGAGTTCTGGGATACACCTGATCAGGTCCTGGGGATTTATCCATGTGTATGTGTTTTAAGCCATCCAGCACCTCCTGCTCTGTAATGTGGACATTTTTCAAGATGTCGCTTTTTATTTCCCCATGTCCTATATCTTCCATATCCTTCTCCACAGTAAACACTGATGCAAAATACTTGTTTAGTATCTCCCCTATCTCCTGTGGATCCACACGTAGATAACTTTGCTGATCTTTAAGGGGCCCTATTCTCTCCCTAGTTACCCTTTTGTCCTTAGTGTATTTGTAGAATCCTTTAGATTCTCCTTAACCCTATTTACCAAAGCGATCTCATGTCCGCATTTTGCCCTCGTGATTTCCCTCTTAAGTACACTCCTACTGCCTTTATACTCTTTCAGGGATTCGCTCGATCCCTGCTGTCTATAGCTGACATGTGCTTCCTTCTTTTTCTTAACCAAAACCTCAATTTCTTCAGTCATCCAGCATTTCCCACACCTATCAGCCTTGCCTTTCACCCTAACAGGAACATACTGTGTCTGGACTCTCATTATCTCATGTTTGAATTCTCCCTATTCCCAGGAGTCTATAGTTGCAGTACCCATCCTCTTCTTTAACCTTCTCAATTCTCATCATCCCTCTTCCCTTATAACTCTGAGCTAGCTTTCCATGGGCCTCCATGCGGCTCCCCAGCTCTAACCAGCTCCACCCTCCTCTCTCATCAGCTCTTTCCCTTCTCTCCTGAGCCACCCACCTCCAGCAATGTAATACATACCCCCAACCCTGCCCTAGTTTCTCCACCCCTCCACTAGTATTTCTTCACCTTCACTGTTGCAATGCACACACACACACACCACACCCAAATCTAATCGCCCTTTCCAAATGTCACTCAAACAAAAGGCTGGTTTTGCCTTTTTGCAAGTCACAACATGTGCACTTTTCATATAAGACTCACCCATTTCCTGATCTCCAGTTGTAGAATAAGTCGTAGCAATGTTCGTCAACAAGTATATTTGTTTTGGTGACATCAGGCGGATTTAGCTATTTACAATCTTGATTGCAATGTTTGTTTTATCAACATCATCCATTTGCAATGATTTATTTAAAGTTGCCTGATTTTTCTCCTCTGGCAATCTTTTAACTTACTCAGTGAAGCAGCATGTGCAGGTGCAAAAAGTAATTCAAGCCAGCAAAATCTTTGTAGATTTTAAGCTGCAATGCAGAGCAGCTTATATTTTCAGTCCCTTTAAAATCATTCTCTGTTAAGGGCAAGTTAACCCAAGTTAAATAGCATACAAAACTGAGCTTGTGGAGTATCCAACACTGAACAGATCGCAAGCTTCAATGGAAGTGAAAAGTGGAAGAGATTTATAAGCAGGCAGCCGATTAGATATTAGCTGTTTTAAATTCTCACTCAAAATTACAAATAATGTTTCCTTCTGTTTCACCCACTTTATCCTTGTTGTCATACAAAGTCATTCTAAAAAGAGGACAATTATTACAGAAAAGTAATAAGATATACTAACATTACTTGCAGATTTGTTCTGGATTGAACATAAGGAACTATGTGGCCGAGCAGTCTTACACCATTTTTCCACTCGCCTTCCTTCCTGAAGGGACAGGCCAGATCATCATATTCATCATTTGAAAACTGGTAGATGATGTCTTTATCCTGAAAATTCTCTTGATTTTCCATCACTGAAATAAAAGGATAATTTGTGACATTATTCAGTGATTTGTGCTGTGAGAATCTCACAGTGCAAGCTTTAAAGACTTAAATAAAGTATTATTAAGTAGTGGCCTGGTCTGCCGACTGTAGTAGTAGAAAGTGGATGGTACGCTGTTTCCTTACAGAAAATGGAAATGTTTCTAGTTCAATCAAGTGGAGCGTTTAAAGAGACTATATCACCTTGGAAAAAAAAATATCTGGCTTGAGAGAAAAACTTAGAGCTAAAATCCAACACAATGGCCACATATGCCACCACTTAATTTAATTTTTGTAATTATACAGCATTGCTAGAGATTTATTAAATAAGATCTTATATCTCCAAGTTAATATGAAACAAGGTGCTTAATGTTCTTTCACTTTCTGAAAATCCACTTAATTTATGTAGTATGAATTCAGATCATTATTGTTGTTGATCTAAAATAATATTTTTTTAACTGCATCAACATCACATGATAAAGAAATTGTAATGTATGAGTGTTCCTGAATGTGCCATTTTTTGAACAATGGCAGTTGAAAGGGAATTACATCACCATCTGCAGGGATGCAAAGTGAAGGCTCGATATAGTCCACGTTCTTCTGAAATTCAAATGAAAATGATGCTTTGGGTGAATAAAGGCCAATGAAACTCCTGCCATTTCTTTCCTAGTAAAATTTAATAAGCAAGGCAATGCCAACATGAACTGTAAACGCTACAAACAGTCATAGTAGGGAATTTATTCTCCTTGAGTGATGAAAGAAATGAAGAGACATTACAGATGTACAAATCGCACTTCACTCTCATAAAAATGACTATTTCCAGCTACTTGAACATCCAAATGAAGGAAATGACATAATGTCTTGAGTATAACTGAGATTAGGGCAGTTAGATTTTGCCACTATTTTTAACCAATGCTCTTCTTTCTCGCAATATTTTGTTAGTTTAATAGATGCAAGGCAGTACTGAGAAAAATGCTGCCTCAGGAGGAGCTCATTTTTCAGATGAGATGCTAAACAGAGGCCTTTAGTGAAGACCTGCTGGTCACTTTGCCTGTTGTCACACGCATGTGTTGTTCTACCTGAGTGGCTATATTGTGGCTGATGGAAGATTGCTGATTTTCAGGAGGGAAAACAACACATGACCTTGCAAGACCACCTTAAGTTGCTCTGGACCTTCAAGGCTGAGCTTCTGACAGTATCATTTTGGCATGGATAGCAGCCTGACAGGCTGAGGGGCACCAGCTAAGGCATTAACAGATGGCCAGTGGTCAGACAATGAATGTTGTTATTCCTAAGAGAGGACTGAAGTTTTGTGCTTCTTGGTATCATCCCACGAGACAGCCTCTCAATGATGAGGTGGTGGCATAGTAGTAATGTCACAGGTCTAGTAATTAGGGACATGGATTCAAATTCCAATGTGGCATAATTAATAAATCTAGAGTGCCAAAAACTAGTCTCCATGAAACTATATCCCTTCGGGTTCACTATAGGGAAGGAAATCTATCATCCCTTATCTAATCTGGTCTACATGCGACTCTAGACCCACAAAGTGATTGCCTCTTAACAGGCCTCTGAATTGGCTAAACAAGCAAGCCACCTGGTTCGAGGGCCACTAGAGATGGACCACAAATGGTGGCCTTACCAGCAACACCTGTATCCCATGAAAGAATAAAACAGTGAGTCATTTGTGTAATCTGCTGCAGAATAGAGAACCACAGAGCTTGTGTACTCCAACAGGAATCATTTAACTTAGATGGCTTGCAGTGTGGGTTCTATTCCCACACTGACTCAGGTCATCATGAAGGTGTGCCATGAGGATCAAAGCTAGGTCTGCTGCTTTTCATCATTTATATAAATGATTTGGATGTGAATGCAGGAGGCATGGTTAGGAAGATGTTGTTAAACTTGAGAGGGTGCAGAAAAGATTTAGAAGGATGTTGCTAGGACTGGAAGATTTGAGTTATAGGTAGAGGCTAAATAGGCTGGGACAATTCTTCCCTGGTGCACAGGCTGCGGGATGACCTTATAGAGATTTATAAAATCATAATGGGCATGGATAGGGTGAATAGCCAAGGTCTTTTTCAGAGGGTAGGGGAGTTTAAAACTAGAGGCCATAGGTTTAAGACGAGAGCAGAAGGATTTTAAAAGGACCTGAGGGGCAACTTGTTTGTGCAATGCATGATGCATGTATGGAACAAGCTGCTAGAGGAAGTGGTGGAGGCAGGTACAATTACAACATTTAAAAGGCATCTGGATGGGTATATGCATAGGAAGAGTTTAGAGGGACAGTGGCCAAATGCTGGCAATTGGAACTAGGTCAGATTGAGATGTCTGATGGCACAGACAAGTTGGACTGAACGGTCTGTTTCTATACTGTATGGCTCTAGGGCTCTATTATCAATCTCAAGGACAAGTATTGTGCAGTGAGTATCATCCCTGCCTCCGAGGCAGGAAATTTGATTTGACTCCCACCCCAGGACTTGATGGCCTTGGAAGGTGTGTCCATAACATGGTAAAATTTGTTGGATACCAACCTGTAAGTCCTTCCAACACATGTGAATGGTGGCCAGCAAGAGTAAGACAAATTTCTGGTTGGCCATTATTGGAAAGAACAGAGGGCTCAACGTTCACTATCCATAGATCCAGACTACAACCTGCATGAAACCACAACAACTCGGATTCCCTGAGTAATCTGTAACACTGGCCCACTACCAACCACCTCTACATTGCAGTGGTATTAAATTTTTTTTTCATATGAATGACAATAAATCAATGAGTAGAAAAGTATAACGGTCAGCATAATAACCATAAAACATACTTCTCCAAGTACCTTTATTGCCCAGCCTATGATTTGTTTACCTGACCATGAACCTCAATTAGCAGAAGAAAAGATCAATTTGCTCAGACGGTGTTCTGAAGAAAAACACATCTTACAGGAAACAAAATTATTTATTTCTGTTACAAAAGCTGAACATGTAATTTATTTTCTCTTCCTCTACATTTATTTTCCCAGGTTGATAATTCTCAATGAGGTTAGCGGTTTTCATGTTTTTTTTAAAAACTTGTTTCAATATTTTTTAAACATGGTTTATTTCTTGGCCTCTTTTAATATTGCTGATGTATTTTCTTTTAGAGATGGGTGATACCAAATTAAGGTGGCTTCTTCCTTCACCAAGGAAAAATGGAAAGATACAACTGGTTATAGACGTCTAACCACTTGTGACAATATTCCCTCTCATGCTTGTTATAATATGTTTATTCTTTCTCTTTCCAATACAACTGGTAATTAAATCTTTCATTCTTAACAGAAAATCAGCTCTTTGGCAAATGACTATACAGGCCAATAAGACTGAAGCTCAGGGTCAGACACTAAACTAATCATAGGCTGGGCACTAAAAAGGTACTAGAGTGAGTTTATCCTTTATAAAAGAGTCAGCACAATAATAGTATGTTCGGGCTCATTGAGTTATTGTCCTTCCTTGTAAAAGTTTCAAAAACAATTTACTACACAGTAGCTATGATTGGTGTTACAGTTCTTAGGGAGGCCAGTAACAGTGGAATGGATGTTTGGTGATTCTGCTAAATACTGTAATAATTCAGCAGTTGCCCTCCCTAATGCTCTCCTGAGCACCGGATGCCTTCCATGTATACTTTAAGCATTTCCTTTACTTGGAGTAGACAGTAAGCATCATGGCCAGGGATTCCTAATATGGCAAGAACAGAAATTCCCACTTGCAAAACTCAACAGAATCTGCTCCAGGCTTGAAGATTCATTGCCAGACAGGAAATGAAGCCTGGAAATCTGTGAAGAGTGCATCAAGTGGTCAAAGAGCTCTGTGAGAACCTCAGTTATCCAGAAACTCAAATTTAAGGCCCACTACATGTTGTGAGATCCTATTTGTATTTGTTACATATAGAAAGTAATTGTGCAAAGCAAAATGGAGGCTTGGACATCAATAAGAGGTACATTCATAATAAAACATTCCTTTTTGATTATTTTGCACTCAGTCCCTATTGAGGGTTTATTAGGGGAGAGGCTTACTACATGTGAATTAATTGGGAGGTTCTGTTTGAGGGATTCATTTAGGGGGAGTTATTATCTGGGGCTTCTAATCAAGATTGGTTATTTGGGAAGTGTAGCAAAGTGCCAAATACCACGTAAAGCCTCTCCTCCAGATTTTCCTTGTACCCTCCAATGAGAGGCCACTGAAACCCAGTGGGGCTACCTGGAAGAAGCTGGGGCCATAGCAGGGAAACCAGCGCAGAGGCCTCAAGGGGCAGAGGAGAGGACATCATTGGTGGCTCAGTGGTTAGCACTGTAGCCTCACAGTGTCAGGGACCCGGGTTTGATTCCAGCCTTGGGTGAATGCGCAGATTCCACACAGACATTCTCCCCATGTCTGCGTGGGTTTCCTTTGGGTGCTCCGGTTTCCTCCCACCGTCCAAAGATGTGCAGGTTAGATCGATTGGCCATGCCAAGTTGCCCATAGTGTCCAGGGATGTGCACTCTGTTTCTTTTCCAAGTGGAGAGACAGCATAGTATATTGCAAGATCTAAGCATTTAATTGTTTGCTTTCTCTTTTGGGGAGATGGAAATAAACAGTTCAACATTTTGGCCTGCTGTGTTCATCCAGCCCTGCACCTTGTTGTCTCGGATTCTCCAGCATCTGCAGTTCCTACTATCTCGAGTTCAACAATAGCTGTCTGCTGCAAGTCTGCATGGTGAGTTTTCTCAATATGATACACTCTACAAAAGTGTAAATTACTCTTAGAAATTGTCAATTATTTTTCAGAAAATCAAAGTAGTCCCTACATTGAAACCAAGAAATTGCTTAAACCGGGAAACCACTTGAATTGAATATCTTTTCATTCAAGTCAATACAAAGCTACTGCTTCTAGTATCACAAGCATTTTAGGCTGAAAGGGCTGTTCACTCAGTAGTTTGCACCTAAAAGATACAACTACTGTCTTCACTTCAAACTGTCTCAGATTACAATTTACATTACTATTGCAGTCAGTGATGAGTAAAGTAATAAAAACATGTCATGGTCCAAGGTGTCAAATAATGACACAGAAAATTTATGGCTGCATTATGGGCAGCACAATCACTAAATAGAGCGTTGCAGTCCATGAGTATGAAAGGCGAGACCTGACTGATTCTGGTAAAAGGACTGTGTCTGTCAAACCAAAAGTTGTTCTAAGCAGGAAACAAGTAACCAGACCACAACAACTTCATACACTACACTTTAAACTAGTTGTAAGATCCAAGAAAACAGAGTAACAGTCCATGAAGTGGCACCTTTGCTGTCTGTTAAATAGACTGGTCCCAACACATTTAGTGCCTGACAATTTATCAGTTGTACTTTAATTGAACCAGGGATTTCCCTCACAAAGAAATTTACAGCTTGATTATAATTGTTGTTGTGTTTCCCCAAATCTTAAAAATGGTTTAAAATTTAATGTCAGGTTAATATGACATGATGGATGTATCTGCACATACGTTGATGGATCATGATGATTATTTTCAGTTGGGAACATACACTTTGAAATTTTAATCATTCTTGTAGTGTCACCACCATTGCCTATCCTTACAAATCTACTTAATTTGCAAACATTTACTTTTCAGCATTCTAATAACAGAACTCAAGGTACATTCTGAAATATCCAAAATCATCACCTGAACACAATGAGTGTTGCCGATGGAGTCGATAAATTGCCTACCTCTACAGCAGATAAATTGAGGTGATACCACAGCACCCACTATGGACATTGTGAAAATTACCTAATATCAGCCCTTTTCACCATGATAATGTCGTCAGAAATTCCAGTAGCCTTAGTGATTTTTTTTAAATTTTCTGAATAAATGCCCTCTGTCCTTTACCACGTTTTATTTTTTTCTAAGCATGCATCCATTATATCTCTTAAACTGTTTCAAAGGCTTTCACTACAGCTGACGCTATACACACCCATGTAATTTATGCCTTGACCTTGTGGAAAATAATAGAGGTGAGAGCAAGTGAATTGCAGTTACTCTGGAATAAAAAGCTAGCCTCGTGGCAGCTATGTAATCACTGTCAATTGTTGTAAAAAAAAAGGGTGCAGTAATGTCCTTCTGGGAGCAAAGTCCGTCATCCTAACCGAGTCTGGCTTACAAACGACTCCAGACTCACAGCAATGTGGTTGACTCTTAATTGCCCTTTAGGCAATTAGGGATAGGCAATAAATGCTGGCCTAGCTCGCGAAACTGAAGTCACATAAATTAATTTTTAACAAACTAAAGGCTTCCATCATGTAAGCACCCATTACAGTGCAGTGGCTTTAGAACTTGTAGCCATTTCATATTATATAGTATAAATCTGATTGAACTTGATGGCATTCTGTAAGCAGATGTAAAACCAAGATATGGTATATTTTTTGTTCTTATGTATGTGCATCACTTGTAAAACTGGTGCTAGAGAGGTATGTTGAGAGGAAAATTTGTCAATATTGAATCTGTTTTTAAATTGTCAGAGGAAATCATACTATCTTTATTTGGCAAAAAAAAGAGTTAATGAAAACAGGACTCTGTTAAAAAAATAAAATCATATATAGAAATGGATAGGAGAGATACACATAAGGCGGCAAGGCACCTGTGCTACATTTCTATCCATTGCTATACATTTGTTTAATGATGCCAGCCTTTTAGAGCCAGTCAAAAAGTGCAGCGGCACCATGTTACCCAGCCCCAAAACAAACCGGAGACACTGCTCTTTTTATAACCAGCTGCGGAAAGTGAGAGTTTGCAATGGCAAGCAATCTCAGTTGACCAACCAGTGCCTTACTGCTTAAATATGAATGTGACCTCCATAAGGTAGAATTTTACACCATTTTTGAAAATGAGATAGTTCAATCTGAAGCAAAAGTGTTAAATTTGAATAAGAGAAGTAATGATGACATGACACAACAAATTGGCTGAGGCAGATTGGAAAACTACTTTACATAGGCAGTGGATAGTCTTCAAGGAAAAAAATAGATTACCATATATTCCTTCAAGGGAATCAAAAAAGCCAGTCAACTGTGGCTGACAAAGAAAGTGCGGGATTGTATAAGATTAAAATTAAAGTCTTCTAAAGTTATACCTCCTAAAATGCATCACCTTACACTTACCAGGATTAAATTCTAGCTGCCATTACTCTGCCCAATTTACCAACTGATCAATATCAAATTATAGCCTGAGACCATTCTCTTCACTATGAGCAATACTAACAATTTTCGTTTCATCTTCTACATTCACATCCAATTCGTTAATGAATTTAACAAATAGCAAGGGTCCCAGCACTGATCCTTGTGGTAACCACTGGTCACAGGCTTCCCATCACAAAAGCATCCTTCCGTCACTTTTTGCCTCCTATTTGTAAGCCAATTTTGGGTCCAATTTGCTAAGTTACCTTGGATCCCATGGGCTCTTTTACCTTTTGGATCAGTCCTGCATGTGGGACTTTACCAAAAGCCTTACTGAAGTCCATATAAAATACATCAACTACAGCACCCTCAGTGTATTTCATCACCTTTTCAAAAAACACAAATTATTCAGACAGGATCTCCTTCTAATAAATCTGTGCTAATTATCCCTGATCCACCTTTGCCTTTCCAAGTATTAATTCTGCCCCTCAGCACTTTTTCCCAATAATTTCCCTACCACTGACATCAGATGACATGGTCTGTGATTACCAGGCCTATACCTGCTGCCCTTCTTGAACAAAGGAACCATATTAGCTATCCTCCAGTCATCTGGCACTTCACCAATTGTCAGCGAGGTATTACATATCTCCACCAAAGCCCCAGCAATCTCCTTCCTTACCTCCCATAGCAGCCTGGGATACATCTTATTCGGCCCTGGGGATTTATGCACCTTAATGCTCACTAAACATGTTCTATAACCTCACCATCCCAGCCTTCACTTACAGTTGTGAATCCTTGGAATTTTCTACCCCAGAAGGTGGTGAAAGTCTAGTGTTTGATTATATTTAAGGTAGCAATTGAAAGATTCCTGAATATCAATGGCATAAAGGCTCGTGTGGAGAGTGTGCATAAAAGATATTGAAGTGCTTGATCAAACGACAGAGCAGGTTTGACATTCTGAATTATTATTCCCGTTCCCATGTTTCTATAAGTTTGTGCTTTTTTAAAAAAAAATTCCGACACAGATAAAACTGATTTCCCACTAGATCACATAAGTGGCCCAGCTGTCAATATTTGCCCACTTTTGTGAAACCAGAAGCTGAAGCTGGAATGAAATTGGTAAGCGAGTGTAATTGGCACATCCCTCAGTTCTGAAAACTATTTCATTCATTGAGCACACATTTACCTGAAGATAGAATTCCCAGATCTAACAGAATCTGCCAGATGCCTTCTGCCTTGGTCCGCGTATAGATGAAAGGACATTGATCCAGTAACCAGTCCACCATTTCAAAACCCACACAGCAGGTCCTGGGGATAAAAAATACTTTTACTTCAAATTTAAAGGGGTATATATCACACGAATTTAGTTTGTTTTGTGCCTATTGTGAGAGGTTAGCAGATTTATTCTTCTGTATTTTCCCCATGCCTTTTACATTATAGACTTTTTCTTATTGTCATTCTGAGAATAGGAAAGCACAAACTGATTCAAGTGTAAACATTTGAATAACCTCAATGGGCTAGATACTATTTGCATTTAATTACTCCATGCTAATCACAAAAGGTCAAAACACCCTGTGAATTTATACCCTTAGATCAAAGAGATAAGTAAGAAAAATGATCAATGCTATATTGCCTAGCAATGCTACTGATTTGAACATTCTTCCATGGAATAATTGAAAAAGCTTTGCAACTGCTTTGAAGAATTCTGAAGAAAGAATTCTTTATTCTTTTCTAGTCAGATTCTACATATAAATTTTTAAAGAAAATTGTCCCTTGATATATTATAAAGTTCAAAGTGTGTACATTTGTAAATATAGAGATCTGTTGAATGCCACTAAGCTGGGAAACTAATTGATAGTATGCAACATGAAGGCCTAAATCCCCTCAATCAGGCCTAGCTCACTTCAAATAGTATAGAGTGAGAGTCATACAGCGTGGAAACAGACCCTTTGGTCCAACCAGTCCATGTTGACAGTATACCCAAAAGTAAACGAGTATCACTTGCTTGTGCTTGGCCCATATCCCTCCAAATATTCCTTATTTATTTACTTATCCAAATGTCTTTTAAGCAATGTAACTGTACTCACATCTGCCATGTCCTCAGGAATTCATTCCACACACGAACCACTCTGTGTAAAAGAATCTCCTCATGTCTTTTTTAAAATCTTTTTCCGCTCACCTTAAAAATATGCCCCTTAATCTTGAAATTCCCCCATTCTAGGGAAAAGACATCTGCCAATCATCTTACCTATACCCCTCACGATTTTATAAACCTGTATAAAGGTCACCCCTCAACCTTCTACACACCAGTAAAAAAACTCTCAGCCCATCCAGCCTCTCCTTACGACTCAAACCCTCCATTCCAAGCAACATCCTGGTAATCTTTTCTTCACCCCCTCCAGCTTAATAATATCGTCCCTATAACAGGGCAATCAGAACTGGACACAGTACTCTAGAAGAGGCCTCAAGAGTGCGCCAGAATGGAAAGATTCTAAACTTAATGTAAACTTGCCCTTGGGCCTCAGCAGAATAAAACAGGAAAGCTGAAAGTGAAAGCCAGGTACCCCAGCACAACTTGCATTTACAAATTTTGCTTTATAAATTTTGGCTCATATTGAGACTTAGAGGCACTTCTGGAAAGAGAGCAGAAAATTGAGAAAGGGGTGAAGGCCACCACCATCACTTGAAAGTTCCCCTCCAAAAACATCACCCTGACTTTGAACCATATCACTTTTGTTGGATCACAATCCTGGAACTCCCTCCCAACAGTACTGTTTTTTCTACATTTCAAAAACTACAGCAGTTCAAGAAGGAGCTCACTGCCACCTTTTTTTTTAGGACAACTAGAGATGCATAATAAATGCCATCAACACCCACTTTCTGTGTGCAAATTTTGTTCCAAATGCAGTGATGGCAAAAGTAAGTCAGCAGTAGCCTGCTCTGGGTTACCAACCACTGGCAGCTTGTGGTTGTGATTTAGCGCTGTCAGCAATCATTGTCCCTAATCTTTTAATTCGTAGTGATGGAGGCTACACCACTGTTGAGTCTCAGAAAGAGCTACTTGTCTTACTTAATAAGAGGCTGTTTATTGCACAAGAGCAATAAGTTCAATTGTTATTGACTATTTAGACATAATTGCTCAAGATTAACAAAAGCCACTGATGACATATCTGTCAGTCATGTGGCCTTGTGTTAAACTGCCCAATTCTTCACCCAAAGACGTCATCATATTTGCTGCTTGTTAACTAAGAATGACCATGGCAACGATCTGGTGCTTATGTACAGATCAAATGATTGGAGAAACTATATTTCCTCATGCATCATGTTGTGACAGTGAAATTCATTGCAATCAAAGCACATCTTCAATGATAACACGTAGATTTATTGGATCAACTGCCTATTCTCAGACCGCTCTCCTATTCCAATGACCTCAATAAAATTGAATATCAAGTGGGACACATACCAAGTGGTTAATATGATAATACACATATCACATTATTGAGTGCAATATCAAAATAGTGAAGGATTTGCCTGGCTAAACGCTGGAATGTTGTCGCTCTAGCTGGAGAATCTACACAGAGGCCAATTATTTCAGATTGAGATAAGGAAAAGTTTGCTTACTTCAAAGGACAGTGAATCTTTGAGTTTTCTACCTCAGAGCTGTGAATGCTCCATTATTGAGTATAGTCAAGTCTGCGATCTGTAGACATTTTATCTCAGGTAGTCAAGGGATATGCAGAGTGGGCAGAGAGTGGAGCTGAGGTAAAACGCCAACCATGTTTTTGTTGAACGGGGGGAGAAAAACCGAGGCCAAATATTCTATTCCTGTTCCTATTCCTTCAGTTCTTATTAAAGTATCCACTAACTCAACAAAGCATTGAATTGCTTGTCTATCCATGTTTTCACATCTTGTGATGAAATTTTGGGTAGTAAAGATGAAAATTCAGATGATGTTGGATATAACTTCATGCTTCATATTCTAATCTTTTGCAACTTGCTTGACCGATTTCCACCTCTTCTGCATTGATAATATTAATACAAACTAGCAGAAAATGTGTTGCCACCACTTTACTGCTAATTAAATGTGACATTTGGAACATTTATATGTTTTGTGTACGCTAGGAATTGGGTTAGGATCATATTCCTAAGAAAGCATGTCAAGCTAGTCTGAATAAGGCTGACAACATATTTCCTTGTGTTTGATTGAGTTCAGGATGGAAATGTGTGCTATCAGTTTGATTATACATAATCCCTCAATTACCTCTGCCAGGCTTATATCTCCTACTCTATTTGCTGTAATCTAAAGACATGACAACTATGATAAATCAGTTTTTAATTTTTATCCCAACTTGTGATTCTTTCTTCTCCTGTAGATGCTGCAAAAAAGTGTGGGAAATGTATTTGTTATATTTTGCCCTGATAAATGTTTAACTTAGACATTCCCAGCCACCTTCACAGACTGATTTTTATTTTAAAAACTTACATGCATTTTCCTCTGGTGGTCACACGATCTTTTACAAGATGAGGTGCTTGTTTCAGAAAGTTCTTTCTCAGCACTTTCCCTGCACAGCAAATAATTTCAGAATATATCTATGATAGAAAGAATTAAAGAATTTGATATGGTGGCAGAACATCATTCACATCTGTAACAAGAATGCAACATAGCTTGGATATTTTAGAAACTCAAATATTTGGAGTAAGCCCAAAGTATAAAAAAATTATACTCTCCCTCACCACCTCTATGCCCAATGTCAATATCTGCATACTTCATTTAATGGTCTGGTTTGTGTAACCACATTCTCTGTCAGATGCAGAAGGACTTCACTGTCTCTCCTGCAGAAGAACATCATTATAACAATGTCCACCTTTGGTCTCCTGTACAGATCAAAATCTACAACAGAGCATTGGATGAGAATACAACTATCCTTGGATATCAATTTCGTCCAGCTTAACACTTTGTAAAGATAATGCAAGATCGTATTAAACACAACATATTTCATATGTTATTACTAAAATTAATTCCTCATCAAACCAAAGTTTTCTATTTACAGTTGGGACTGATGCCTGATGGTGCGAATTACCTGGACCAGAAGCAGGAGGCTCCAGGAGTGATAGTAATTGACACTCAGCCTCCTCAGCGGACTCCCCATCATTGATCACACCTTGACAAACAACTCATTGGGCAAAGCACTTAAAATCTAGTCTCCTTGCTACATTGGCAGCAATCCTCAGGTAAGGCTCAGGAACAGGTTACATGGGATGCACTCTCCTTCACCAGCTGCACAGAATCTTTTTTTAAATAAATGCTGTTTTCACAAGTTACATTCTGCTGATCATTGGGTCACTGGAAGTTTGCGCCTTTTTCAGTAGTGGAAAGTTTTGAAAAGCGGATCACAACAGCTGTTAGGTCCATCATTGAAGTACCTTGTTGACTTCTTGGTAATATAGTTAAGTTAGAGACAGGAGGCATAGAATGGGGCAGAATGGAGGTATTTCTGACTACAAACAAGTTTGTAATGTAGTTCCCCCAGAGATTGGAGTTAGGACGATTACCTTCGTTGTTATTCGTGGACTTCGGTCTATAGAGTATAATTTTAATGTTAATGGATAATACCAAACTTGGTAAATAATTAAGTAGCGAGCAGGATAATAACAGACTTCAAAGGGATGTAGACAGACTGGTAAATTGGGCAGACACATAGCAGATGCAATTTAATGAGTGTAAATTTGAAGGATGCATCTTGTGAGAAGCAAGACGGAGAGGCAGTTTAACCTAAATGACTTTGCAAGGGAGCACTAATCCTTAAAGTGTCAAAGCCAGTTGTTAAAACTGTTAAGAAAACAGATTAGATAATTGGCTTTGTAAATAAGGCCACTGAATAGAGAAACTGTGAAGTCATCCCAAACTTTTACCTGTCACTGGTTTGAATTAGTTTCATGAAACATTGGATAATTTTTAGGCAGTATACTTTAGGGATGATGCTAGGCCCTTGGAATGTATAGAGGGGAAGCATCAGGATAATCTTAAGGATGAGGAACTGCCACTATGAAGTTGGAATTATGCTAAAAGCAGAAAAGGTCAAGATAGACGCAAGTGAATTTTCAGAGTTTGCAAGCTTTTGATAGAGAAAGTAGAAACCAAATCACTGGCAAGTAGAAGTCATTTTGAATTCAGAAATAAAGCCCGTGGCAAGTAGTTTGATCACCAGAGGCTATCAATGTGCTAATTATTTTAAACCAATGAGAAGGGTAATGAGGAGAAATCATTTCACACAAAAGTGTTGTTATGATCAGGAATGCACTACTTGGAAAGGGGACAGACTCAAATTCCACAAGAACCTTAAAGTGTATGAAATGTATTAGAAAATAACTGATTTTTAGGGTAAAAGGGGAGAAAATTGTGGTACATTGGACAGCTGCTTCAGAAGCCATCCCACTGCTATGCTGCATAGCATTACAGCTGTCTGCTTTTTGGGTGTATAACAAGTAGACAAACTCATATGTCAGATAGTAAAAACCAAAAGAACTGCGGATGCTGTTAATCAGGACCAAAAACAGAAGTTGCTGGACAAGCTCAGCAGGTCTGGCAGCATCTGTGAAGAGAAAATCAGAATTAAAGTTCCAGGTCTGGTGACCCTTCCTCAATTGTCACTTTGTCATTGAATTAAGAAATGCACATTTGTTTACAGGTAATGTAGATCAACAATTTTTGATTCAAAGGGAGGAAAAAAATCGAAGAGTAACATTTAAGGAAGGGTCCAAATTTGTCACTAAGTGTATCTAACTAGCTTGGTTGTCGTGTATAAGTCAGTTTGGGGCTTTAGTCAAGCCAGTCCCCTTTATAAATGATATATATGAACACTTCTGCAACAGACACAGAAATTAGAGTAGCACTGTATCCAATTACTCCATTTCCCAATTTCTATAGTATCAGTTTAAGAGTTGAATAACTTTAGAATCACATAACTCCAATAAGAATTAATGCTCATTAGACAGTTAACTGAGTGCTCCATTTTAATAAACAATGTACAAAATATTATTATCAGCTAAAATAGACAATTGATGTTTGCAGATTTCTTCTTAGCACTACTTGTGTTAGAGCTTATTATGTGCAATGGTCAGCTGATCGCCACCTCTTGACTATTCACTAGAACTATACGACAGAAACAGTGAGGAAGGGACCTTTTACCAGAAACTTCCAAGATATTTACCTTTCTTCTGGAATTTGATGGATGATTATCAGCATTTTGTTCCAAGTTGTCCACCTGCTAATGAAAGAATTTAACTATTATCACTCCGTACTAGAAAACAAAATTTATACCTGACCAAACAACCAAACAAACTCTGAATAATGACACAGCCCATCAAAATACCAGTGCACTCCCTTGCATCAACTGAGTTCTATATTTTAATTTGGTTTGAGATATGAAAAGAACACAGAAGCATGTGCAATGCCCAAACAATGGGAACAATATTCCCTGCAGCTTTAATGGGGTGGATTTGGACTTTGAGGCAGCTATTGGTCAGATAGATTGGCAATCAGGCCAAACATGTGATATCATCAGTCAGTAATCCAGGTCACAAGTCCTCATTTATGTTTAAAAACTGAAAGAACTGTGGATGCTGTAAACCAGGAACAAAAACAGAAGTTGCTGGAAAAGCTCAGCAGGTCTGGCAGCATCTGTGCAGAAAAAGATCAGAGTTAACGTTTCAGGTCCGGTGACCCTTCCTCAGAACTCATTTATGTTTAATTGGTTGAGGGGCTCTTGTGATCCAATGATAGTGTCCCTACTTCTGAAACAGAAGGCCTAGCTTCATGTCTCACCAAGCTACAGAGGTGTATCATAACATGTCTGAACAGGTTGATGGGGTGGAAAAGAATCCAAGTTTAATTGACAAACAGCACTTGGCATTTCCATTGGTAAAGACAACCAATCATCTGCAGTTCACCTGCTATCCACTTTTATATTCATTTAGCTGCCATTTTCTTGCATGTTACCCTTTCCCCATGCTGTTCACAGTCACAATTCTCCTCCACTCCCTCAGCATGTTCACAATGGACTGAAATTTTACTAGCTCTCTGTACTGAGAAGCAAGCAGGCTGAGGGAACATAGGAATGGTGTGAGTCATTTGACCTACAAGCCTGCTTGAACTTTCAATAAGGTCATGGTTGATCAGGTTATGCTGTCATCTCCACTTTCCAGTCTGCAACCCATAAACTTTTGACTTCTTTGTCTATCAAAATTAAAATATCTCCACTGCCTTCTGGGAAATAGAATTTCACATTAACGACACTTAGAGGAAGAAAGTTTTCCTTTTCTCTGTTTTAAAAAGTACACCTCGTATGTTCACTAGGTTTAGTCTTCCCCACAAGAAGAAACATTCTCCACTCTATTCAGTACCCCCCACCCAAGCTCCCAGGTTTCAATAAGATTATGTCATATTCAGCTAAGCTCCTGTGGGTATAAGCCCAAATTGTTCAACATGTCTTCACAAATAAGCCCTCCTTCCCAGGAATGAGTCGAGTGAACTTTCTCTGAACTGCTTCTGATGCAGTTATATTGTTTTTCCAATACAGACCAAAACTGTACAGTGTACTCCAGATGTGGTGTTTCCACTGCCCGGTATAGCTATAGAAAACTTCCCTCCTTTGGTCTTCCATTCCTTTTGCAGTAAACAACAACATTCCACTTACCTTCCTAATCATTTGCTGTACCTCCGTATTAACTTTACATGATTCATGTCCAGGAAAGTCAGACCTCTCAGTACCATGAAGTTCTGCAATCTCTTTCCGTTTAAATAATATTCTGCTTTTCTATTCCATAAGACTATAAGATACAGGAGCAGAATTAGGTGACTCGGCCCATCGAGTCTGCTCTGCCAATCATGGTTCACATGTTTCTCAACCCCAGTCTTTTGCCTTCTCCTTGTAACCCTTTGTCTCCTTATTACTCAAGAGCCTGTTTAACTCTATCTTAATTACACTCATTGACTTAGCATTCACAGTCTTCTGCGGCAATGAGTTCCACAGATTCACCACCCTCTGTCTGAAGAAATTTTCTCACTTCAATACTAAAGAATCATGTCTTCACTTTGAGGCTGTGCCCTTGGAGCTTAATCTCTCCTACTAGTGGAAATACCTTTGCCATGTCCACTCTATCCAAGCCTCTCATAATTCTGTAAGTTGCAAGGAGATCCCCCCTCATCCTTCTAAAGTCCAAGTACAGACCCAGAGTCTTCAACTGCTCCCCATATGACAGCTCTTCATCCTCATATTCATTCTTGTAAACCTCTTCTGGATCCGTTCCAATGCCAGCACATCCTTCCTTAGATACTGAGCCCAAATCTGCTCACAATATTCCAAATGCACCCTGACCCATTTCACAGCCCGATACAGCCTCAGCACTACATCTTTGCTCTTGTATTCTAGCCCTCTCGAAATGAATGCTAACATTGCATTTGCCTTCCTACTGCCAAATTGGACAAGTTCACATTTACCCATGTAATGCTCGATCTGCTGAAAGTTTACCCGCTCACTTAACCTGTCTCTATCCCTTGACAAAGTATATACCTTCACTTTTCAACTCATTTTTCTATCTATTTTGGTGTATTCAGCAAATTTAGCAACTGTACATATGGTCTGCTCATCAAAATCATGGATGTATATTGTAAATGGTTGAAGCCCCAGCATTGATCTCTGTGGCAATCCACTCATTAAAGCTTGCCAACCTGAAAAAGACTCATTTATTCTTCCCAGCTTCATGTGAGCTAACCATCCTTTATCCATACTAATACATTATAGCATACATCATGCATTCTTAACTCGTACAACAATCACTGATGCAGCAGTATATCAAATCCTTTTTGGAAATCCAAGTACACCACACTGATCAGTACCCCTCTGTTGACTGAATGTTATTTTGTCAACAAACTCTAAGAAATTCATAGTTAAATGTGATTTCCATTTCAACAAACCATGTTGGCTCTGCGGGAACATTTTGTAATTTTCTAAATATCCTGCTATAACCTCCTTAATAATGGATTTTAGCATCTTCCTGACGATAGATATTAGTCCAGTTAGCCCTGTAATTTCCTGCTTTCTGCCTCCCTCCTACCTTGAATAAAGGTGCCACATTTTCCAATCAGCTTCCAGCATGTGAGGAATTTTAAAAGATTATAAACAATGCATCTACAATCTGTGCTACCAGTTCTTTTATGATCCTTGGATGCAGACATTCCAGTCTGGGATTTTGTCCATCTTTAGGTCCAATAGTTTCCTTGGCACATTTTCCCTTGTGATAGTGATTGTTTGAAGTTCATTCTTCCATAAGACCTCTTGGTTTACAATAATCTTTGGGAAATTATTAAATTTTCTACTGCAAAGGCCACACAAAATACCCGGCCTATAACTCTGCCATTTCTTTGATTGCAACTCTCAATTCCCTACGTTCAATCTTTAGAGGATGAGCACTGGCTTTGCTTCCTGTTTTCCAATGCAAATACTTGTAGAAAAAACTTATTACCTGTGAGCTTTCTGTCATAATCTGCCTCCTGTCATTCTTTGCTGGTTCTTAAGCCTGTTTAATTCTCTGGCCTGCAATTAGTATTTGTAGATTGTACAGCGCATCTTTCAATTTAATACTCTCCTTAACTTCCTTACATAACCACAGATGAAGTAGCCTTCTCAAAGAATACTTTGCAAAGGACAAAATATCCAGTTTTTCATTTAATGTGCCTTTAAAAGTATTGGTTACATTGTTGGCCAAAACATATGGAGCTGTTCATTATCTCTATCATTAATTTCAACAACTATAAATATAAGTAATCTTAATTTTTTACAAAGTAAATCTTTATTTTTACATGACTTTAAATATAGTGCTTCAGACTGACTCATTTGTCAGTGATTCATTATTAATTGCAATAACCTCTACTCTCTTAAATTGCAGTGCTGACGAGTAACAAGGGTAATTGGATTAATATGAAATGCAAAGAACTTGTCCATATTTTAATTATTTTTGGAACATACTGAAGACTTTGAGAAAATCTTGAAAGCAGATACTTGAGACTGTTGTCAGTGCATTTCATGATCAATAACTGCATGAAACAAAAGTAAAACAAAGCTAAATGCTACAGGAAACAGACAGATGTGATAAGGACATCAGAACTAGGAGCAGGAGTAGGCCAGCTGGCCCCTCGAGCCTGCCCCGCCATTTAATAAGATCATTGCTGATCTTCTTGAGACTCAGCTCCACTTAGCCGCCCACTCACCATAACCCTTAATTCCTTTACTGTTCAAAATTTATCTAGCCTTGCCTTAAAAACATTCAGCGAGGTAGCTTCAACCGCTTCGCTGGGCAAGGAATTCCACAGATTCACAACCCTTTGCGTGAAGAAGTTCCTCCTGACCTCAGACCTACATCTGCTTCCCTTTACTTTGAGGCGATGCCCTCTAGTCCTAGTTTCACCTGCTAGCAGAAACAACTTCCCTGCCTCCACTTTATCTATTCCCTTCATAATCTTATATGTTTCTATAAGATCTCCCCTCATTCTTCTGAATTCCAATGAGTATAATCCCAGTCTATTCAGTCTCTCCTCATAATCGAACCCTCTCAATTCTGGAATCAACTGAGTGAATCTCCTCTGCACCCCCTCCAGTGCTAGTATATCTCTTCTCAAGTAAGGAGACCAAAACTGCACACAGTACTCCAGGTGTGGCCTCACCAGGACCCTATACAGCTGCAGCATAGCCTCCCTGTTTTTAAACTCCATCCCTCGAGCAATGGCAGACAAAATTCCATTTGCCTTTTTAATCACCTGCTGCACCTGCAATCCCACCTTCAGCGATTCATGCACAAGGACGCCCAAGTCCCTTTGCACAGCAGCGTGCTGCAATTTTTTACCATTTAAAACATAGTCCATTTTGCTGTTATTCCTACCAAAATGGATGGCCTCACACTTATCAACATTGTACTCCATCTGCCAGACCTTTGCCCACTCACTTAGACTATCTGTATCCCTCTGCAGACTTTCAGTGTCTTCTGCACACTTTGCTCTACCACTCACCTTAGTGTCATCTGCAAATTTTGACACACCACACTTAGTCCCCAACTCCAAATCATCTATGTAAATTGTAAACAATTGAGGTCCCAGCACTGATCCCTGAGGCACACCACTAGCCACTGACCGCCAACCAGAAAAACACCCATTTACCCCTACTCTTTGCTTTCTACTGGTCAACCAATCCTCTATCCATGCCAATACATTACC